TTTAACAATTTAAATTCAACCCTCATGATATGTAGTTGAATAATAATGTGATATTTAAGAACTGTGTTCAATTGTTTTATTGTGATTAAAATTAATTACACAAGTACATTAAATATCTAAATAAATTTTAAAATAAAAATTTTTTTCGGCAATAGCAAAAATCTCCTATCAACTAAAAATATCTGTAAACTATGATTTAGTTTATGTTTGCAATGGAAACAATTACGATTAAACATTATGATTATTTATGCCTATTATATAATGTTCTGCATTTGTCACGTTTGTGTAACTATTTAATTATTACATTTTGATAAAGTTACAAAAAGTGTTAGGTTATTTCATACCTTAAAAAAAAAACAATTTTTAATCAAGATATTCTGATAGTACTTAGATTGTTGTTATATCTCTATTTAACTAATTATTCCATAATATTTGTATACGTTTAGCATCTTATTTCGAAAACGAAACTACTTAATCAGATGTTTGAACATTATTTTTATAATTTTCAGATTTTCGCATTCACCTTGAATTTTTGTTTTCGTAAAAATCTGAAGATCCAAGTTATAAAAGTTTCAGTGAGGCTATTGCCAATTATAAATTTGGACGGGAAAACATATATATATAAATAAAATTGTTTGGCTATTTGCCATTATTTTTCTATTCAGTAAATATGGCTAGTTGCTTTATAGTTCAATAAAAATTGCTGAAAATATCTATTATCTATGTATTTCGGAAGTTTTCTTTTAATTATTATCATTAAAAACTAAAATGATTCCCTCTTTATTAAAAATTTTCTCTAACAACTTTTTGAAAATTCTGATTTTTATATGTTGATGTTATCATTTTGTAAATTGATAAATTAATAATTTGGGAGCAAATATTTTTTTTTAATCTTCTTGACTCCTAAAAAAATATTTTTTAAGTGGATACTAGCGTCCGTTTAATAAAAACTGAGGTGATTTTTAATTTAGCAATGTAATAGAAGTGCTATAGCTCAAGGACACCTCAATCATATATTTGTTCTGGATGAATAATTTTCAACTTTTTTTTTAAGTATAGTTTAATAACAATGATATTTTTTATATCTGTCTGAATAATATTAACAATAAAAGTAATCAATTAATAGGCTGTATAAATTTCAGTATCTTTCTACTCTGTAATATTGATTGAAACAAATAAAATATGTCAGAATAGTTGTTATTTTTGTCGATAAGAATATAATTGTACGTTTTTAGTATGCGAAACAAATCAACCCGATGAAAATCGTTTCAAATTATAATATAGTACGTGAAATAATATTGAAACAAAAGGAAATATTCTTATACATAGTATACTTAATTTTATGTTTTGTTTTAGATTCATTGACCTACGACCGTTACATATTACTTTCAAGTAAACAGAGATAATTATTTTATATATTGTAATAAGGTAGCACAACTAAAAAACAAAACCTCAAGAATGGGCTGGGTGTCAGGTTAGCGACATAATGAATATTATTTTTAAAAAACTCGTTTGATACATATAGTGGTAATGACTGAAACTTGTGCATAATATGTACATCGAGACGACGTTCACAGTCGTTATTGTAACACAAGACAATAGATGTATAATTATGTATTGAAAGTATCAACTTGTCTAAAAGTATTGAACAATATGGATTATTTTTTTTCATTGGTACAGTCGAAGAACAGTTAAAACCATTTTCAAACATAATCGTAGAATTTATTTGTGTTACTATTTTAATTTCATAATTAACCCAGAGTATCCATGGTAAGAAATCTCCACTTTGGGAAGTCGCTATGACCCTTAATGAGCTATAAAAGCGTTAAAAAAATATATGTAATAATCCTAACATATATTTTGTGCTAACTTTGTATAAAATTAATTAAAATTTTATAAGCTTTTAAAAATTGAAGAGTCATTACATGTATTTCTATTTTCATGTGCCGCCATAATTTTAAAATGTTTTAGACTATAAAAATAGGGATTTTATAATGTTAAAAGAAAGTTACGTGAAAATAGTTAAATAGTAAAGTTAATTTGCAATTGGTTTATTTATCTGATTATTTGTTTTTGCCCGTAAAAATAATTTTTATCTTGTATTATGATAAAATTAATCTGTGTTTACTTGAATTTCATGATATGAAAAATGAATTATAGAGTAGATAATTATAGAAGGTATTATTAATATAATTTTAATTTAAATCCTAAAAAAATCTTACTCATCTTAATTCACGTATTTAATGATTGAAAGTTTCTTTTGCAGTAAATGTGCTGCCGTTTTTACGTTTACATTCCACAAGTGTCATATTTTATTTACACATAGACTGCATATTTCAGTACACATTTCATTGTTGACTCCAATGATTTAAAACGTTCTTTTATTTCACGACGAATGATTAGAAGAATTCATTAGAAAAAATGAAATTCACGATAACGAGGCGGTATAGTTATTGCAATTATAACGTTATTCTCATTCAGCACATATAGTTTCAGTATAACAATACCTTGTGAAGGTAAAACAAAATAAAAAAAATATTAACGTGTTCCAAGAAACTCTAAGAACTTCAACAACTACACTTCTTAGAGTGCTACATATAATTAGAAGGATAAAGACGCGATACAAATCTTTGTCGGTTAACTAGTTGTAATACTTAATTTTAAGTTTCTACATGCAATTTAAATTAATTTAAATTAATCATGTTCGCTGTCATACTTTTACAAATTTTCCGTTTTTAACAGAATGAGAATTGGAATCATTGTGCGTTTAAGTTTTTGAATAACTTCCAGTACTCATTAGAACTGTCCATTATACTTCCCTAGGAGGACTATTTTTAATTTTTTTGTTGACTAAATTATTATAGTCTTCTAGAATTTTCTTTGTCTAATATACTTTATGCATTAACAAATTTATAAAATGTTTGGACGACACAATGATTTATAAATAACAGTCAACCACTGAATAATGGTTGTACACTTAAAATCTAAATAGGATTTCTTTTTTTAAACTTTCTTGAATCGGTTATGATTTTTCTGTTTTTTATTAAAGTACTCACGTAGGAGTCTTTAGTAATTTTAACTAACAATTCCTTTACGACTACTCACTGTTGAGAAATAATATTTTTATACTAAAGTTATTAATAATTTATCATATCAACACAATGATCGACCATTCAAATATTGTCGAATTAGAAGTCTTAAATTACCATCTTGGATTTGATAAAGTATTTTTAACATTTGGTATAGTTTTAATTTTTGTTTTTAAATAGTTTATTTATTCATAGTAGATTTCCCCAAATCACCTCAATAGACGTACTGCCTTATAAAATTACTTAATAATGCAGAAAATATTCAATTTAAAAATATAATCAATTACTCAAGATAATTATATAAAATACTTAGTCAACAAATTGTGATAGAATTATTTAATTTTAATTTATCTGTAAAGGGCCGTATTAAATGACAAATGTACATGGTTTTATAATTAGATAAATTGTACAAATCATAAATTATTCTAAAAATCATTAAGTTCATAAGTAAATTTGTTAAGCATGATTTTTTACTTGATTTTATGTACAGCCTAATACCGTGTAATTAATACTTAGTTCATAAACTAAATTATATTAATTTTCATAGGAATTTATTTTTATACATATATAATTTTAATTTATTCACGCAAAGTATTTGTTTATTTTTATACACAACTATGGTAATTTATCTAAGCGTGCCAGGAAGCGCGTGGGACGTTTGATGTGTAAATCGTTAGTTTATTAAATTAGTATGTTATGTAAATTTATAATATTATAAAATTGATTTACTTAAATATAATTATATCTTGTTTAAATAAATAATGCACTGATTAAGCTGCTACTATTAGAAACGACATTACACGACCCCCATCAAGTTATGTAGTTTCGCTTTCCTTTATAATACATGGTTTGATCACTGAAAGAAAATAAATATGTTAACTGTATTTCTTTTGATGTTTTTAATCCAATTTCCAATTATTGAAGATTATATAATAATTTGAGTATAAAATTTAGGGATCAATTAAAAAAATTTTCCATGTCAAAACATATTTTCTTATTACATGGAAATATTATTAAAAAAAAATAATGAAAAACTGATAATTTTAAATTTTAATTTTAATTATGTAGATAGTTTTTCTTTTTTGATGCGAATTTCACATATAACATTGCCCTGATAATATTACCGAAAAATTCACAAGGTGTAAGTGCTAAACTTATACAAATTAATTAAATTAAAAAAGAAATTTAATCACTTAGTATGCTTTATTAAAAATCAGATTTAAATCACCTTATTTAAAAAATGTCACGTGCCGAACTTTTTTCATACAATTTTTTTTTACGGCGTGAATGATCAAGGACATATCATAATGATACGGCGTGTGATTATTATAATATACCATCACCGTACTTTTTAATGACATTGCATTATAATAGTTGAACTCTTGAGAGGGTGCAATGATTTGTCTCTTTCGTGATTTTTTATAATACGCATTCAGGAAATAAATTATTTTTTCAGATATAAATTTAAATGTAAAATTTAAAACAAAAAATCTCTTTAAACATTTTGTTATTAGAAAAAAAAATTGTATTTTATTTGATGAATGGTTATTTATTTTACTGTCAATAAAAAAATTACAATTCTTTTACTTTTTTTTTAATAATATTATATTTATTATATTATGTAATCATTGTGGTTAATCGATGTTCTATCAGATATTACGATGATTTTTTTTAGCAAATATTCTTAAAGTCAATATCAACGTAATTGTAATGTAATCTTATAAATATTTTTAAAAACTGACGATTGTTCCAATAAAATAATTTAGGATAACTATGAGTAAATAAAAAATATTTCCTTTTTTTATACCATTAATATCAACACATTGTTTTATAACTTTTGTTCTAATGATAAGGAATAATCAGTAAAATAGTTGATTACTTTTTGTTGATTAGTGTTGTTTTTATTTCCAGGTGAACTTTGGTAGCTTAGCTGAAAAAGCCGGTCTTCAAGTAGGGGACGCTCTTGTTAGAGTCAATAATCAGGAAGTTTACGATGTGAAACATAAGGATGCACAAGACATCATTCTTAGGGCAGGAAATATTTTTGAAGTAACCGTTCAAAGGTAAATATAGTTGTGCTATTACAAAAAAAAATTCTCAAAACACATTTTTTTAAAATCAGAAACCTTATTGTTTAGTTTCCTTATTTTACTGCATCGCAATAACGTAATTTGTTTCTCGATTATCTACAAATTTGTCATTTATGCATATAATGCTATTAATTGAAAAATACATATAAATGTCTGAGATTGTATAAGCCATGTTTGATTTTTAAAATAAGCAAAATAAAAAAATACACATACTGACATAAGTTCCGGTTGATATAAGTCTTAGGAGCTATTTGCGTAGTATTTCAACGAGCGCTTTTTGACAATCCTTTTTCAGTCGAGACGCTCCGTCAGTTACGTGTCATAAACGATGAAGCGATTCTTTATGGCACTTCCTGGACGCGTTAAATTTCATTAATTCGGACAGTTGCCAAGCGAAACTGATTTACTTCATTAAATCTTATATGTGTTTTTTAGTCATTAATTTCTTTCGCAAATAGGGTATTGTAATTTAATTTAATATTGAATTTTGACTTTTAAAATTTGTTTAAATGTTTTGGATTAAAATTAAATAAGTACTAATGGATATCATTGATAAAATAAATAGATTGATGTATTAAATTATACCTATATTGTATTTGAAAGGCTTGGTGCAACAACCAGTTAAGTCCATTATTTTTTATTTTAGTAAAATGTTTTTTTTTAATTAAATATCTTTAAAAATAATAGGAATCTATAACTCGTTTTAATACCGAGTAATGCAATAAAATCATATTTATTGAAAATTTAACAATAAATTGTTTTCTGCAATAGTTGGATTTATCTAGTTGTTACATCAAGCTCTTCATTTGAGGAAAATATTATCCAGGAATTACTGTAAGGGCGGGACTATAGGGAGGGAGGGTGAACGCTCCGGGGTTCATGAACTTAAGAGACCCATCTCGAATTTTATTAGATTAGTCATCATTAATGACAGACTTTTACTGTTTTTTTTTTTTTTTTTTGTTTTTTTATGGTAGCGATATTTTTCATAAGAGGACCATATAGGTCTTAATCTGGTCTTGACTATTAGGAGATCAAGACCCAAAAGGCACAAAAATTGTGGCGATCCTATTCGCTCCAAAATAATTAATTTTACTAACCGAATTATGCTACCCGTAGTGGCCCAAGCAATTATCTCGTCGCTGTGGGCAGTCCGTTCTATAATTACCTCACATTTTTCTAAAATTTTAAACTAGAGGTTTTTTTTTAAATATTGTTCTTACAGAGGTGGCGTTTCCACTTGGAAACCTTCAGTGACCCCAATTGGACCTAGCCCAGTACCTAATCGTCTTTCTCAATCACCTCAACTTGTGACCAAGACATCGCTTGCTAGAAATGGACCTCCTCAATCACCGGCCTTTGGGTCGGGTCATAACTCAGTAACAAAACCGTTCTCTGGATCTCAATCTCCTAAAGTAATTATTTTCATTCTAATGGATTAAATTGAAAAAATAATAATTAAGAAAAAGATATCTTCATGTCTAAATGATTTTCCTTCAATACTCTCTTGAACTAGACTTCATATGTCGTGAAGATCTTCAAATGAAAAATACGATATTTTAATGAATCAGGAATAAAAACTGTCATGTGCCAATTATTCTGTAAAAAGTATTTGCTAGTAAAATTATCTAGTCGATCTTTTCTATATGCACTTTTATATTTTTTGGCATCACTTTTTAACGTTATTCATTAAAATACACTTATTGTTCACTTTGTTATAGATTAATGGTAGTAGTTATGGAAATGATTCTGTAAAGGCTATTGTTAACAAACAGTACAATACACCAGTTGGCATTTATAGCGAAGAAAACATTGCTGAGACGCTTACTGCCCAAGCTGAAGTTCTGGCTGGTGGAGTAATAGGGTAAATATTTTTGTTTCTGATGTATTAAGTATTAAAGTATATTATTCTACTTAATTACAGAGTTAACTTTAAAAAAAATGAAAAGAACTATGAAGCTAGCAACAGTGAAGTTTTTAGAATGGTACAAGAAGCAGATAAAGAACCTAAAGAACATAATGAATCAGGTAATAATATGTATTTGTCATCTTTATACTGTGTACAATGATAGATAACACAGATCGACAAAACTTGGATCATCAGAGTGTTTTTATGATTTTTTTATGTGACATAGTCCCTATAAATGTTATAAAAAAAAACCTAGTATAGTGGGGATGTAGCATTGTGGGATCCAATATAGATTTAATCTGACAGCGATTAAAATCACTATTATAAGAAACGCTTCTATGCAAATCTGTAGATAGTGTTTAATTTTAAGAAATTGGTGGATAATTACAAAAGCAACATCATTTTCTATTTCCTTAATTATATCCAGATTAGTAATTCTTAGAATCAAAAATATAATATATAATTTTTATAATTAATTCTTTTCAAATTATTATTGATTTTGATTTTTAATATGTTAAAAATAATCATTTTTAATCTACTTTTTTTTGTGAAAATTTATAATAAAAAAAAAAACGAATTTATTGCCATAACTTTTAGCTCAACTTGCAAGTTTAAAATTGAAATTACATAGAAAAAAATGAAATTGTTAAGTTTAATATGCAGTCAGCAAATTTTATTATTTACTATTTACAGTAAATTTATCAGAAAAGCTCTATTTTTTTTTTTGCATTTTTATCGTAATATACCACTTAAATATAATTCATAGTAATCATTTATAATTAACTTTTGGTGTTTAAAAAGATTTGAATTTGTAAAAAAAAAACAATTGAAGTATGCAAAACTGAATTAATTTTCATTATTTACTTTAACTAAAATAACCAATAAAAAAAAAATTGTTAAAAAGATCTACTAAAATAATAATTTTTAACCTATTTTTTTTTTTTGTGAAAATTTATAATAAAAAAAAAACGAATTTATTGCCATAACTTTTAGCTCAACTTGCAAGTTTGAAATTGACATCATTAAATAGAAAAAAATGGCATTTTTTAGATTAATATGGAGTCTGCAAATTTTATAATTGTGAATATTATTCATATTTTTATTCTAAAATAAAAATTGTATTATTTACATTGCCAATTAAATTTTTTAAGTCTTCTTTAAAAAATATAAATGAAGAACAATGCGACGGATTTTACCAAAATATATTAACAATAAAAAAAATATATCAAGAGAAATAAAATTATGCTAAAAAATGTTAGAGAAAAGTTCAGCTTTAACTTTTATTAAAATACTATAAAACTTAACTAAAAAGTCTATATTAAAAGTATAATGGAATGATTTTAAAACTGCATAAATTATCATCATAATATTAAAACATAATTAGGTAAAATTAAAAAAAAAAATTTTCTACTTAAATTAACATTAATTTGGTATTATGTCACTCCGCCATCTTGAAATCTATTCTTTTATACAATAAAAACTTGTTGCACTTATTCTAGAAACTGCTCTTTAAAAATAATAATAGTAATAAAAAATACATAATTGTTAAAATATCATCATACTATGTATTAAAGCTATAAAATAAATTGTTATATAAAAAAAGATAATTTTATAAAACTTAAATTGTGACTTAAATATTGTTGATGTTGAAAACTAATGACATATTTGGAATCAGTGTCTAAAAATCTATTGAAAAATATGTTTATAAAAATTCTATGACCTGAATTTTGTCGAACTTGGACTTTCATGAATCAGCCAACACTTTTGTATAAATTCTTTTGTATAATTCTCCATCATTAAATTATACAGAAGTCAATCACAGCCATGTGATCGACTCAGTATCGAAAATCGGAGGTATGCGTCATGTGACTGCACCCGAAACAAAACCATCACAAAATAATCCCAACCAGAACATTTGTGCCGATTGTGAAAGACTTATCGTGTAAGTTTTAAATTACCCTCGCAGTCGTTTTTGCTTATGGTGCTTGATGCTTCTATTTATATAATTAATACTACTTGCTTTCTTGTGGGATGTGGTATACCGGCAATATATAAATACGTGATATGCCATGTTGACAATTTGTCACTTAATTATTGAACTTCAATATTGTACAAATTAATTCCTGTGATCTATCAACATAAAATTGTCATATATATTTCGGTTCTCTTATTACTTTGGTTTTCTATCAGAACTTCAAGCAAATATCGCTTATTTCTCTTCAGCCAGTCATGCAATAGGTGGTCGTGCCACTTCACCCAGGCCTCAGACGCCAGTTCAAATGCCAGAGCAACGAGAACCGTATTTGGGTTCCCCGCTAAAAGAGGTGGACAATCATTTGGACTGTACTCAACCGGTGGTATCGTGTACTGAGTGCCGAAATGACATCATGTGAGTTCAGTGGTTTGAACTCACACTTGTTGTTTTGAAAAAAAGTTACAATTTTATTCTTACTTCCCTTCACCCTTAACAAATGCTAATTAATGCACGCACGACTAACTTCTAAACTATTTCGTTTATGATTATAATAAACATAAAAGTATCAAATTTTATTGGATAAAATACTAATTAAATTAAATGTTACATAATAAAATTAACAATATTTATAGTTGTAGAAGTTTAATGTATCATACAAAGTTAATACATATTTTACATGATATATTCTGCTAAAAATTACATATATATTTATTTGTATTATAACGATTTAGTGGTGTTTTCGTTCGTATTAAGGACAAAAGTCTACATGTGGAATGTTTTAAATGCGCTACTTGTGGATCATCTCTTAAGAATGTAGGCTACTACAATATCAACAATAAGTTGTATTGTGATATTCATGCCAAAATGGTAGCTAAGCAAAATCCACCAGCCCCAAATATAGATCCCGTAATTGTTCCTCCGTAAGTTTAAATTATTTAAATTATTAGACAATTAACGGTAATTGAGTATTAAATCTTAAGTAAAATTATACTGTTACAGTTTTTAATAATTAATTGGTTTTTATATTTTTGAATTAGTGGCTCACATCCACCTTTGGGTTCATTCAATATCATACCTAATAAGAACAAGGGTATACAATCACCACAGCCTAGTACTCTATCACCGATACCTTTCCACGTAAGTTAATTATACTTAGATAATAAAACATTAACTTATTACCGTAACTTAATAAAAATTTATATACTCAATAAATGGTATGTTTTAGTAAAAAATTCGAAATAACTAGAAAATGTTATAGTTACCTATAATATTGTAGTTACGCAGGGCAAAATATTTTAAATTTGAAAACACTACCCACCTCTGAAAAATTACATGCGTTTTTGCTCTTCACTTTTAATAATTATTATTATCTAATAATTATAAAATTAGTAGAGACATAAATTTTCACCTAATTAACTTGGTTTTTATGGTTGGATGACTTTTTTTGGTAATTTAAGAAATAAGGTATCCAACAATTATTTTAGCGGTTCGCAATTGAAAAATACGTAAAAAAAAGTTTAATTGTTAGGTTTGGTTTAATATATTTTACAAAGTTTAGTTTACTTTTCTTTTTATGGCAGTATACACAAATAGTTTACTTGTTTGCATATAAAATTCTTAAACTATTCGAATGTATTGTGTAATTATCGAATATTTTTACTAGTCCAATAGTTTTTGAATGACTATCGAATAGTTCAATAGTTACTATTCGATATTTACTATCACTAGTAAAAACATACTTTCGATCTAGTATGATTAATGGACTTTTGGTATCATTATTGATTTCATCTATAGTATACGAAATAGCTGCATAAATTAATATTTTTAAAGTTTTAAACAATTTTACCCAGAGAATCAAGAAAAGTATAGATCATTAATAAATTAAAATAATTATTTTTTATGTACCTACAAATAAAATTATATTAAACATGTGTTTTTTATTACGTTCTATTGTACACTCCATTTCAATTTAATGAAAAAAGTACTTTTTTTCTTTCTTTATTTTTATTATTAGCATATATTTTGTAAATTATTACATTTTATTTCATTATTTGTTCTTTTAATGTTTTTTTTTTTTTTAATTAGAAGATAACAAATAATGCACAAGTTAATATAATATAATAATATATAATTTAACCGTACTTTGATCCACGAACAAAAATATTTTTAAGAGTTATAATTGTTGTATGAAAAAGACGCTAGTTGGCACTTAAGCCTAAGGCATTAGTTAGCCTTGCGCTGGTCCTGACTCTAGCATGGTCAATAACAGAAACAATAAATTAGAGCCTACTTCAATTGAACGGCGATTTTAAACAGATAACGGTCAGTCTTTAAGGAGAGGGATCAAAACCGATGTACATTTTAATTTTATTTAGTTTTATTCTTTTTGCTTGCTTTATTTAGCGGTCAGTAGCATAAATAACGAATTGTTGATACTGTTGTGTCAAAAAAGAATCACTCGGACATTATCTTGCACTATAAAAAATGAACATTTTTTTTTTTTAAGAAAGTTTTTTATTGAATATTTACAATCTATAAAACAGGTAAAGCAAGTAAAAGTGCACTGAAATATTAAAATTACATGAATTGCATGAATGGGTAGATCGCGTTAGAGCTCTTCATTAAATTAACAAGAAATTTACACTATTCACAATCTAATTTGTTATTTCATAAATGGTTGCTAATTTCAAATTTAATATTAGTGTCTAAAATCATCTTATTGTTGTAGTGCTAAGGGGGCAACATATTTTATGAAACTTATTGAAATATATGTTTTTAAGGTAGCTAAATTTTCTTCACTTTTTTTTTGAGTTAGTATTAGTTAAAATGTTATAAATAATAAATATGGGAATAGATGCTGAGAAAAAATGATTAGATATTATAGACAAACTGTTGACTACGATTGGTACTTGCCAGTTGTTCTTAATACTTAATAAAACTTTTTTTTGTCTTTTTAAAAAACTACATATTAAATTTTAATGATCGAATTATAGTTTTTCATTAAGTAATAAACTAAAATTGCAAACATTTTCATAAAGTAAAAACTGACATTTTTTTTACATATTTTTACTTTTTAAAAGCAATATCTTTAATTACTTTTCATAACGTGTAAAATAACACATTATAATGCTATAAGTTATGAGCCCTGGTTATGTTAAAAAATGTTTGTGAAAGTGTTCCTCAAGTGTCAAAGTTATCACTGCTATGTTAACATGAAATCATAAAATTTCAAAATTTATTGTATAATACCTTCTATCTAAATTTCATTGATCAATATCTTTAAACAATTTGATTAATTAATATAATTTTAATCATAATAAAACGAATGTTATATTTTATTAGCATCAACCAAACTTTTCAAGCCCAAGTAAATCTTATGATACACCAAAACCAACTACTCCGATTTCAAATTTTAACAGCGGATACAATCATGCTACAACAGGTAATATATTTATAATTTTTAATAAAAAGAAAATTTTTTACACGGAAAAAAATAAGTTGCTTCGATATTAAGAATAGTTAAGATAGTGTAAAGTATAGAGTTATTTTTTACATGTTCGTGATTAGGTTAACTTAATTATTAACGAATGAATCCTCATAACGTATGCCGTTAAACAAATTTTAATAATCATCATAAGTATTTAATTAAGAGAAAATATTTTTCTGTAAAAAAGTAAGGCAGTTCAACACATTTAATACTAAAAATACATTGCACCTAGTAACGATAGAAATATTATTTCTGTACAGGATTTAATACTCAGGCGCAATTTAAATCGACCTCATTCTCTAAAGGTATACATATATAGTAAATATATCGAGTTTTTGATTTAATTAATTTTTAGCAAATCATCTTAAATAATTAGTCCGTAGTAGATATTATAAATAACTTAACGTAGTAGTGTTTTATTATGATTTAAAGTTTATTACGGAATTATTTTAACAAATCGTAGTGGCACTTTGACTTGTTACATTGCTTAAACACATTTTATTACAACGTCCATGAACAGACAAAAACGGTTAAGTTAAAAAAATGTAGTTCGTATATCTGTAATAATATTTTGCAAAACTCACATACATTTATCTGTTATAAATAATATCTAAATTTTCGCTTTTCAGAAGTAAAATCATTCAACTCAAAACCTCGACCTTTTTCGGTCGGGTTCACGTGTTGAGTATCTAATAAAAATCCCTACAGCTTTCTGTTTTTATTAATGATTTTCTAAAGCTTTTGTTTTTTTTTTAGTTGACCGTTTTTGTTTGAATTAAATTACTTTTAATTTGAAAATTTTAAGTCTGAAAGTAAAATAGCTTAATGTCATACTAGTCTTCTAGGTTAATAAAGTTAATAAAATTAATAATTTTATAATCAATTAGTATGTATTGTATTAATAGATTATTATTATACAAAAATAATCAAGTATTAAATCTTATACATGCTACATTATAAACAAATTAAGAAAATGGGTAGTTAAAAAAAATCAATTAATATAGATTTATTTTGTTGTTTTCGCCTTTAACATCGCTTACTCCCTAGAACTAACTAATTATTTTGATGTCAATACTGGCGTGCAATCAAACCAGAAACTAACTTTGCCATTTTTAAAGCCAAAATTCACTGGTTCTGCCTTCTTTCCCGTCAATCCTACCTACCCTTTAGACAAACGGTTATCTCTGTGTTCTTTAGAAGTATCACGTACATTAGAGGATTATAAAAAAGACTCAGCATGCAAATCTATAAATGAATCACAAATTTTATTGGAATCCATATCTGAAGGAAGACCTCAATCCCCAGTACCAGATAGTAAAGGTCTTGACTTTAAGTCAGCTGAATCAGTGTCTAGTCCAAATTTTGACTCGTCACCTTCTTCAGATAACACCAAAACTATTACATCTCCATTTAACAATACACCTTCGATTTCATTAGATTTGAAATTTTTGCCAAAATATTACGGCTACAAAGGTTCTATAGCAACAGCTATGGAAATTGCTCCAGACCGACCTTTTACTCCAGCTGTTGCGACTGAATTTATAATTAAACCTAAGCCATGGATCTCATTACCAGACGAGGGAAACAATCAAGAACTCAGATCAGAATCACCACTTGTCAATGCTCTAAAAGTCGCTCCTGAAAGAAGCTATTCGCCTTTACCTACATTTGTAGACTCGACCGATCTATTACTTGATTGGAATAGTGCTACATCAACTTCAGTTAATAAACCCATCCAACAAATATATGGATTCAATGAAAAAATATTGCCCACCCCATTTTTGAATGCTAACTACCCTTCAAATTTTCATAAATCATTTCTGCCTTCGGGGAAAATTTCATTTCGATGTTTTAATTATAACTTCAATATAGATCAACAATCTGTCGATTCAGAACGAGTTCCTTTTCCATTCGCTAATGAAAATCCTGAACCTTACCTTCCATCATTATCGCCATTATCATCAAATATGCAAAAACAAGATAATACTGATATACCATCAAAGAAAGTTTCATCGGAAAAATATGCGCTCATTAAAAAGTCTTTAGCACCTGGAATTAAAAACAAACTTTTATCATTTAACTCAAATACTAGAGATTCTGATAAAGTTGAAATTTTTACTAATACCTATAATTTATCAACCCAACCAAAGAATGCTGATTTAACCAGTGTAAAACTAGCTAAAGTTATACCATTTTTTGCTAATAACACGTCTATTATTACATCACAAGAGTCTTCTCATGCACTTAAACAATCGCCCTATCAAAACCCAATGCGAAATTAACTCTTATTATTCATTTTTTTTAATTATTTTGATTAATTAGAATTCTATTGCGAGTATTTATTTCTATTAAATGATTTTATTTTGCTTTGGTTTAGACCATCTAATAGAGTTAAACGATAATTAACTAGAAAAAGTTGTTAACGTTTTAATGATTTGTTTAAGCTATAGGTGAATAAAATTATATATTAAAGATACATAATATAAGAAGTAAAACAATTTAATTAATGATAATTTTTTTTTCGTTTACCTCTATTTTTATTAACTTAGATAAATATACATTTTCTAACAATCCTAAACCTAGATTACCTTTCTTAAAACCTAAAACTACATTGTCTGGTTCTGCTTTTTATCCAATCACATCCAATTTATCATCAAATAATCCTACATCTGCAAAATGTTCTTCGCAAGCGTTATGTCAATCATCAAATGAATGTAATAAAATTTTGAGTGAATCCATTGCTACCCAAATGTTAATTGAAGCAATCAAAGACGATAGATCACGATCACCTACTGTTGGTTACCAAGAATTGGTATTTATGGAAAAAGTACCACTTGAAGTTAAATCCTTAGTGCCTCCAAATAACTGTACTAGAGCTATTTCACCTTCACATTTAGTAATATTTCCTCCTGAGATTCCACTTGAATATTTAGCAGCTGCACGATCAAGGACGTCTACGCCACAACCTAACTTAAAGGTTGTGTCTAATAATTTTCCAATGACTGTTGATTCAGAAATTTCTTTAAATAAAGTTGAAAGTATGTCTGATGAAAAATTAATGAATTTTGAGTCAAGTATTATAGACGTCAATAATAAAAAAATTGATACTACAGTAACACAGTGTAACATAGAATGCATGGAATTGCAAGAAGGATTACACTCATTTAGCTATCCTAGCAAATTCATAAACGTACCGCCTATTGAAAAAACTAAGTTCAAAATGGACGTAACAGAAACTAAACAAGACAAATCAGAATCACCTTTGTTAACTGCGTTAAAGACAGCGCCAGAGCGGAGTTTTTCACCGCTCCCAACATTTGTCGATGCTTCACAGTTCGTTTCTCCACCTTCATCTGTCAAAGAGGAAAAGAGACCCATGACAATAGCTGAAGCGTTAGCTGTGGCTCCCGAACGATCTTACAAATTACCTGAATTTAAATTAGGAACAGCGCGGCCAGTAGGTAACAATCCAGTTAGGTATGTACACGGCTATAACAACAAAACACAAGCATTATGTCCTATACTTAAATCTCGCTCTTTGTTATATTCTCCCGTTTCAAATATAAATTTAGAAGAGGAACAAATAGCTAATCTCGGTCTTAAGTCTTTTCCTCCAGTATCGGAGGAACTTAAGATAGCGACGGCAGCTGGAGATTTCGATCGTATCGATTCTGTGCAGTATGTCGAGGAAGAGTTGACTTTTGATGATATTCCAAAGGAGGGAAAGAAAGAAAATTCAAATGATGAAATCACTGTTGTTCCAGAACAGGTCATTTATTCTAATATATGTCGACATCCATTTACTGCTACAGGCTTACACGAACCTTCTGATATACCACCATATCAGCGATTCATACCAGAAAATCCACATAAAGCCAAAATGAATGCAACCTCACCAAAACCATCTATTAAAAATACAGATTTTCTTAGACAAGAGTTAAACGTACTTGCCAAAGTCACGCCAGTATTGGGTTATACACCTTCATCGTTCATAAGTGATGGCGTAATTTTAAATAAATCCGCAAATAATAACTTGTATCAAATTGAAAATTCTAATAGGGAAATGAATACTATAACATCTACTTCATTAGCATCGCCTTCTATTACTACATTTTCTGATTCTTCATTACATGAAACTCTTTCGGCAGAACCAGTAATAACCACTTCTTCTCCTAATTCTAATAATCTAAATCCTTCCATTTCTTTACATATGCCTAAAACATCTTTACCTGCTGCTTTACTATCAAAAAAATTAACATGTTTTACCAAAAAACAACAACCTAAATGTATAAACCCAACACCGATACCCGTACCCGATCTAGGTGGAGGGCTGCCGTTGACGAAGTCATCTGGATCTGCTGGTTTGACAGCGCCAAGAAGAGGCCGAGGCATATTGAACCCACAGAACTTGACACCTGGAGCTAGAGTACCTTTATGTGGAAATTGTAATCAGTACATAAGGTAAAATATTGTTTTAGGAGTTTAGTAATGTGTGTTTTTCGTGTGGGTTTTATTATTATATTTTTGGTAGGTCGATTAAAATAAAGGTAAGGCTGTTTATAGTGTTGAATACATTCTTCAGATTATTATTAACCTTTTATATTTTGTATTTAAGTAAAATTATGTATGTTTGCGTTTTTTTAATTATGTTATTTATATTTTCTAACTCTTTGCACATTTTTTGCTTAACACACATTTATAACATATGTACTAATAGGACTTGAGAAATTGAAATTAAATAGAGACAGTGGAGAAGATGATATCGATGGGTGTTTTATACCAAAAATCATACCTAATCCCGAATGTAATTGTTGTCGAACCCCTATAAACAGGTTTGTATTGAGATTTTTGCTGATTGGTTTTACGCTATAATTTTATTTTATTTTTATTAATGCTAGTATTCATTATATAGATTATAAGTTATATAAATGATATTTTGACCTCTTTTTCTTATAGAGGACCTTTTATTACTGCTCTTGGAAAAATATGGTGTCCTGAACATTTCATATGTGCAAATGACAAATGCAGGCGTCCTTTGCAAGATATAGGTTTTGTCGAAGAAGACAATGGTTTGTACTGCGAATACTGTTTTGAACAATTTTTAGCACCAGTATGCTCCAAATGTTCCGGTAAAATTAAAGGAGACTGTTTAAATGCTATTGGCAAACAATTTCATCCGGAGTGTTTTAACTGCACTTACTGTGGAAAATTATTTGGAAATAGTCCATTTTTCTTAGAGGATAGCCTCCCATATTGTGAAAATGGCAAGTTTAAAAGATTTTTATAAATTCGTTAAATTGGATATTTAAATAATAAATTGTAAAATTTTATATAACAAATTATTTACTTTTACTTCTTTGTAGATTGGAATAATTTATTTACTACAAAATGCATAGCATGTGGATTCCCTATTGAAGCAGGTGACCGATGGGTGGAAGCCCTGAACAACAATTATCACAGCCCATGTTTCAATTGTTCAGTAAGTTTATTGTTTTATGTAATATTTAAAATTTTACATCTATTCTATGTAATGATTTTTTTATAGAAATGCAAAACTAATCTAGAAGGTCAAAGTTTCTATGCTAAAGGGGGAAGACCATATTGCAAAAGTCATGCCCGTTGATAAATGTTTCATAATAATACAAACATTTGAACAACTATAATTGTACACAAAAAACTTGTCATAGCACTAAAAAAACATTGTGCTCTTAACATTAAATTATTTATTTTCTAGTTTATTTATATGTATCTTAATACTATATTGATAACTTTCAGTTTTGTCTAGTAAATTATTTTTATGTAATTAACCATATCAATAATAAGCTACGCCAAAAAAATAGTTTAGCCATCGTTAACAATTAGCAAGTAATGATTTACCAAATATTAATAATAGTTAATAGCTTTAGAATTTTATGGACTAATTGATTATGTTTGTACTATGATTAGCTAGACCTTGTTTGTTTTTAAAATTTTCATCAAATCTATAAACTTGTGTTTTTTACATGGGACTGCTGATAATTAAAAAGCCTGTAATATAAATTACTCATTTTTTAATTTAAATATTCTTTGATTGTATCATTGTCTTATTTGTAATTATTTGATTTATTATATGTTATTTTTTTTTTAATATCATTACTCAATTTATTATTCAGGCTATCCTATTGTGTACTTGAATTTATTTTACAATTGTATTAATTATTATATAAAATGTATGTATATTTATAAATCTTCAATTATAATTTTTTGCTTCTGTGTTACCCAAATATAATATTATTAAAGTATACTGATTAATTTATATGTTACCGCTTGATATTTATGTATTTATTAAATTCTGATACTATTATAGTAATTTATCAATATATTCTGGTTAATATTTGATTTTAGTATCAGTTTATTTTGTTATAGTAATTTACTCAAACTTTTCTGTAATGTAATCCTAAGTGAAAACATATTTAACAATCCATTTTAAGTTAAATATACAGAGTGATTCTTTTAACTAGCCTTTCAATTTCTCATAAAATAATTTATATATATTATTTTGCTTTTATTAGTTACATATTTAACTAGCTTATAAAAATAACTAATTGATAATTTAAAATAATGATTCGAGTAAGGAGTAGGTGCTGCTTTTTTTTATCACTAGACATTTCTTGACGTCACTCTTCCTCTTTTCTAGGTATAAAAAAAATGTTACTTCAGAAATACTGGTCTAAAAGTTGTTATAGACCAGTCATTTTATAAATTTTATAAGCTAGATAAAAATGTAAGTGTGCACTAAAAAATTAAAATCTTACAAAAAAATGATTATTTTATGAAAAATTGAGTAGCTAGAATTAAAAGAAACACTATGTAATAAAAATATTTTCATAAGTTTACGAAACATTATGCATTAATTATGTTAATAAATATTTTATAAAATTGCTACTACACAATATAATACAATAAATTATAAATTACTAATGTGTAATTCATACACTATGAAAATGAAATTATTTAAAAATAGTTCATTTCTTTACCAGTTTACTATGTCGATCTCTTATTTAATTTAATTTTATAATTAACCCTAATATATATTTTGTTGATTTAAAGCCATAATTCAGCAACCTAAAATAATTAATTTGGAACCTTTGATTATGAAAGAATAACATGAAGCCAACTTATTGTCTTTTTAATTGACCAGTTGGTTAAATCAATGAAATTTTATCACAAAAATAATAATTTGGTTTATTATTTCAAGTTTTATTTATAAATAAATTCTTTAAAAAATGTATTCCAACACTTTCACATTAAAAATAATTTTTATCATATGTTAATTCAAAATATTTATCAGATCTGTAAAAGTAAATTGTCTTTTAACTTTTTTTTTGATCGGTCTTTTGAACGTGTTATGAAATGTTGTCCATATATATGAAAAAGGAACCCTTCAAGTTCTATTTCATAAATACAGCCTTTTTTTGAAACAGCTTAAATAAATTTAAAAAAATATTAGTAAATGATAACATGATAAAAAAATTTATTGTGCTAACTTTTAAGTTTATCATCTGATCCAACAATTTGAAAAGTATACTTTGTTTCTAAAACAATAACACCGGAAACTCCAATATATGAACAACATTTGGAGCTTATTATTTTAATAAGGGCTCCATGGAAATCACATTTGTATAAACTTGTTGCTAATTGTTCCCAGTGTTTACCCTGTGGTGTACCATTCCATCTAAAAATATTTATATTTATATCTTAAATTTTTTATGAATGCATTTTTTTTTTTAATAAGTGTTACAGAAATTCAAAATTGATAATTTTTTTTATTAAAAATAATATAAAGTAGATTAATAAAAAATCATCTAAGAATATTATGAAAAGTTTTTATTTATAACATAAATTAAACAATAAAGAAACTAAATTTTTCTCATTGTGATTTAATTATTATACAATAAACATTTTTAAAGTGTTTTTACCCTCTTGCTTGTAAATCTTTGAAATTTATGACATGTTTTATATAAGAAATCCACAGTTCATTTAATTTTAAAGCATCTCTATAAGACAGAACATCTTTGGGAGGTTTATTCAATCCTAGTACATGCTTCAATTGATTTTTTGTATTACTGTTAAATTTAATCACTGATTTTTTTTTATGTGAGTAATTTCCTAGCCAATAAGCCTAAAATAATACAAAATAAATGTAGTTATTATTTGAAAAAAATTACTTATGAAATTATGAACTATTTACTCTTTTCAGTTCAACATCAATTTCTCCATTAGAGACTTTTATTGGCAAAAGTTGACGTGCTAATTGGTTTAATGATAAAGGATTTTTAACTTGAAGTACTGATGCTGCTTGAAATGTTGATTTACTAGTCTTATGATAAATATTTTTTGCTATAATAAATGTGAAAATACTTAAAAATAAATTATTATAAATTAATATAGTGAAAAAATAAGAATTAAAAATCAAATTGTAGGCAATATAATATTAAATTAAGTTAATTAATGATTCAAAAAATATTTTATATAACAATAAGAATCATGTAATTTTATTTAACTTAAAATTTTCTTACATTATTATACTCACCCATTTTTTTTTTCAAAAAAACTTTTTGTACCTAAAAAAAATTGTCTATTGAATTAAACTTAGTTCAATAATTATTAATTATATTTTAATTTAAAAAAAAAATTTGGATATTATTTAAATAATATTATGTAGTGATGAGAAGAGGGTGTTAACGAGCGATGATGTGAAAAAAGGTGGAGAGTATTCTAAAAAATTACTGAATGAGCAATAAGGTGGTTAAGGAATCTTTTTAATAAGATCTTGTTAGGGTAAAAAAGTGTGAGAAGAGTAACAGAAGGTTTTAGGGTAAAAGTAGGAGTACACCAAGGTTCTGTTTTAATCACTTATTTTCTATAATGATGGATGAAATTGTTAGAGAAATACAAGAGGTTTCGGGGTGCATGTTGTTTGCTGACTATACAGTATTAATAGGAGAAAATAGTGAAGAAATTAATCATAGTCTAGAGGTGTGGAAATCAGCATTTGAAGGAAATGCATTAAGAACAAGTAGGAGTAAGACAGAGTATATAGAGTATGACAAAGGAGAGTACAAGATAGATGAAATGAGGAAATCAAAGACAATAAGCGAGGACATGACAGGAGAGATTGAAAGTTTTAAAAATTTAGGATTAATTGTGCAAAAGAACAGAGGTATTGACAAGAATATACTACATAGAATTAAGTGTGGGTGGGTGAAGTAGAGAGAAGAGTCTGGTGTATTATGTAATAAGAGAATTCCAATGAGGCTGAAAGGTATGTTCTATAAGACTGTAACAAGACAATTTATGATATATGGTTCAGTGTTGGGCGGTTCACAAGAGATTAGAGAAGAGAATGAGTATAGCAGCGATGAGAATGTTTAGATGGATGAGTGGAGTGACTAGAAATGATAGGATAAGGAACAAACATATAAGAGACAGTATAGGTGTAGCGTCAATCTTGGATAAGATGAGAGAAAATAGACTTAGATGGTTTGGTCATGTTATGAGGAAAGAGGAATCGGAAACTGTAAGAACAGTTATGGAAATGAATTTTGAGGGGAGAATAGGTAAAGGAAGACCAAAAAAGAGAAGGAGGGATGTAATCAAATGTGATAAAAGGGCTATTGATGTAAGTGTAGATGATTTAGAAGATTGTGTCAAGTGGAAGTTTAGATTAAGGGTGGCCGACCCCAAGTAGCTGGGATTAAGGCAAGGAAGAAGAAGAAGAATTAATTCCTTTAGTGCTCTTAGTAGGACAATATCAGCTTAGTTACAAATTAATAAATATAACTTGATCACATATATACATGATAGTAAATATTATAATGTGATGGTATGAAATTATTTGTTATAAAATCAGTAAGTAAATTTTAAAAAAATAACATTTAAATATTATACATAGCAGTTTATGTTTTAAGAACTATTATAAGTTAATATGATTCTGAATGTATCAAATAAATTCCAAAATAGAAAATAAAAAAACCTTTTTTATGTTGTAAATTGTTTAACTCATTAAAGGATAAATATACTTATTTAACATTTATAAAATATTACTTACTTAGAATTTTGTAATAGAAATATGAATTTTAAATTTATTTTTACAGATTTAATGAGAACTTATAAATCTATGTTCCAAATATTTATTAGAAATATGTCAATAAGTTTTATTTATTTTGTATAACTTAAACGTTAGTATTATTTTTTTCAATTAAATTATTAATTAATAAACATATTTAAATTATTTAATATCATTAAATTCTTTCATTTATTTAACATCTTTAATTCTAAATAATAAAATTGGCTACATCTATAGGTGTAAAATTCTACATGTATGAAGATCTAACCATTACTACTAATTTACTATTATAATACCGACATTGATATGTGACAGCGACGAAATTATTTTAAAAAATGCAATAACCCGATATTAACGTGATAACAGAGATAAGCATGTGCACTTAGATGCGCTTTGATAGTAGGCAAATCCATTTAAAATCGTGTAGGTAAGATATCTTTCGTCAATTATTGGTTCGACTTGATACATCACCTCTTTGACGAAAATAAGTGTGCCTGGTCTTCCCAACCATGACCTGCCTCAACGCTGTCGCTGTAGCGCAGGTTACGTTCAGGGGATCCCCGTATTTGTAGACTGTTCCCCAACATTTTGGGTACTCCCTGTCCACGATCGTGCACTTTCAGACCGACCGTCCGGACGCATCAATTGCGCCGATTTGTACCAGGGTCTCAGCACCGCAGCAACAATTTTACTCGTTGTATACTGTATACGTGCTTACATGCTGTTCCCTATTGACCCACTTGTTTTTTTTTTGCATCAAACTTATTAATCATTTCATTTCAGTAATTAGTAATAGGTTGTTATGTTAAGTTGAGTTTATTATTAAATTTAATACTAATTAATAACAAACAATTAATTTGCGTCGTTACTAGAAAAATATAGCAATTTAAACACTTTATTTTTAAATTCAGAACTAATTTTTTTAGAACTGACAAAATGATTAATAATTAGTAATAAAATATACTTATTATTTAAAATATTGTCATATGACCGAACAACGTAGCGTTAGCAGATGTACTAACCATTTGCATCGTTCGGGTGCACTGCAGTCGTCCGTTGTAATACACATGCACCGTTACCGCCCTAGTTGACTTTCACCTACAGACCATTTTCAAAAACATACTTGAACTATATTCAATAAAATTTAGATAAAGTTTAAATAATTCTACAAAATCATATTTTAAAAATAGTGCTGTGACTAAATGCTGCTTTCGAAATTTGAATTAAATTATATTGTTGTATACAAAAACTTTTAGACTTATATAAAAAATTTTCTTTAAACGTTAAAGAAAATAAAAACATTCAAATAATTGTATTAGGCAATTACAAAAACTGTTCAGCCATATTTTATTAACTTAATGATAACTAAATGCACACGCGTCATTCTGAATGCGTTGCAGTTTTCTACAACCATTTGTCGTTTACCAACTAGATTTTTATAACTATATAAACAGTATAAACGCATTCTATATGCAGAGAAGGGAAAACTGCGTAAATTTTTTCAGGGTCACATGACGCATTATTGCATTCATTTTTTATTTATTATAGTTGGTAAAGCTATCATTCTATAATATTCAATCCTATTATTATTTAAAATGTTATCGAATACTTGATTACATACTATTCATATATAGTACATTGTACATAAAATAATAAAATGTAGAAATTCAATGGTTCCTGAAAAAACGCTATAGATATATTATATTGTATCAAACATAATCAGTCTTATTGTAAAAGCCAGGAAGGAGTGAATATAGTCATTCCAGACAATTTTTTTGTCATTTCTAACAAAAAAATTTCCTTATAATGTATTTTTTTAAAGTGATGTATTTAACCCTTTTTAAACGACACCACTATTTTTTTTCTACTAACGGTCCTTGGATGTAATCTAAAAATCTAAATTTCGAATTTTTACTTTAGTTATTCAAATAAACACTATAGAAAAAAATGTACTATGATATGATTAGAACTTCGAGTTTTACAACTATATTGTAATTAACTTTTTTTTTTTTATTTAAATTACATATCAAGATGTTTAACTCGACTAATGTACAACCAAAATTATACGCCATGACACAGCTGAATTCTTTAAGTTCTCCGGAACGGCACACTGCTCGTGTGTAAGATATTTCATAAATAATTTATAATCAATTAATTTAAAAAATAAAAATAATAAGTTAAAAAGTAGATAAGATTCACAGAACAAAAAATAATATTCTTGTTCGTGAATACGTGGCACTCAAACATATTTGTCCTCTGTAGTGTATTTACGGTTGGGAAATCCTTGGATCCTAACTCATGCAATCATAAAATATAGATAGTGAGGGGAATAAGTGAGAGAATCTCCCTTCTACTTAAGTTCTGAAAGCCAGTTGGCAGAGATCAAAAGTAGTAGGCAGGAAAAAAATGTTTTAAATTTAAAAAAGCTACCCGCCTCAAAGAATTACATGATTTTTTTGTTCATCAATTCTAATAATGATCTTTCATTAATTTAAAAATAATGGTATAATATAAATCCTCACCAAACTAACTTGGTGACTAACTCCCCAACCCTTTCTGAAAGGGTCAGAGAGAGCCATGGTTATCCCTTTACAAATGTAACTTACTACGTTACTGATATCCTCCAAAATTGATTTTCCAAAACAAATGTCGGAGTGGTTAATGATCGGTCCAAAAATTCAAAGTATAAACTACTTTGATTTATTACTAGTTGCTCCTATCATTTTTGTTATTTAATATATTAAAATACAAGCAGTGGCTCCCAGAGAAGTTTACTAACTTTACGGTCTTCCAGTCTGTTTGAAAAATGTATCAATAAGATGGAAGCTATCTATTTAAATGTCAAATTTATTATATTTCCACAGCACAATCAAAATTTTAGGTAATTCACAAACATTGTAACATGAGTTATTATTTAAAGTAATTGTTTATTTTTATATACATAAATAAGTATCAAAACTCATTTAAAGTAAATAGGTACATTATAGGCGCAACTAGTATGAGAGGGGCTAGAGGGAGCTTAACCCCCTAACATTTTAATTCCTAATCTAAGGGTACTAAAAGTTTAATTCATAAATAAATACATATAATCACTTAATCATTAAGTTAAATTTTCAAAAGATTATATATTTAAAAAATATTTATGGTCTTGATACAATTTTTGTTTGGAATACATGATAATATAAGATTATGTTATAATATAAATTATAATGAAAATATAATCTTTGCCAGTTATAAACAAAGGTTATTATCATTACTCTTTAATACCATTAATTTTAAAAATAATAAAATTAGAATTTCACATTATTCATAAAAATTAATTGTAAGGAAAAAATTTACAACATTAAATTTAAAAAACTTAATCTTCATTTTAAATAAAATTTACGTATTTCTAAGTCTAATCTTAGAAATGACAATATTTCAATAAAATAGTTTTAAAAAAAAATGTATAGGGGATAGGGGCGCAAAAAAGACAAATGAAAACAATTGTTTTTCATTACATTTCATGTAAATTACAGTAATTTTTAACTATACTCTCTTATGATGTATTTATGGAGTATTTAAATATTTAACCAATAAAAAATTAGTAGCACTGATAGTTTTTAATAGCATAATAGATTGAAAAAATTTACTTTTTGTTTTTGCAATTATAATATTTATGTATAAGAATAAAACGTAAAAATATTTCAATTGATAGTAAAATAGTGTTTTATAAATTGAATTTCAGTGAGCCACAATGAGACATTTAAATTTTTTTCTATCATAAATAAATCTAATTAAAAATTTTAATTAGAATTTATCAACTATTTTTTTTACAACTTTCAATAAAAAAATCACTTAGTTTCAAATAGAGCACTTCGAAAATAAATGTATCATTGTGTCTTCTTCTTTCCTTATTCATTAAAATTTAGAAAAATATAATAAAATATAAATATATATAGTAAATATATAATAAAGTTATAAAAATTATAATTCAGGTTTATTTTGAAATATAAAACAAAAAATTTAAAACATTTCATCATAACCTTAATACTATTTTCAAGTATTACCTAGCTATTTATCTAACTTCCTTAAAATAGTACACATACAAATTGTCCCACAAAATTTTAACCACTTTAATAAATTTTGATTCAGTAAATATATTTTGTACTTATCCTAACATTATACATTATTTTTTAATTTTTTATTGGAAGCAAATTAAAAATAATAATAATAATATAATGCAAAATTTTTAGTGGATCAAAGTTATTAAAGATGTTACAACTAGATGGGACACCGTACAACAAGATTCTTAATTTAAGACACATATTTTTAACAAATCAACAAATAAAAAAATTAATATTACATGAGAAATTTAGAAAACAACAATATAATATAGATTGTAAAAAAAATTATTAATGGAAATAGTTATAATTAGATATACCAATTTTTTATATTTGTATATAACCTAATAGAACTTATAGTACACAAAATTATTGATTTTTTAATTTTTCATCCCTACACATAGAGGAAGTCAAATAATATTTTCATTTAGATTATAAAAAATACAATAATTTTGTAGAAAAATTAATTAATTATATACTCATAAATTAGTCAATTATCATTATACATGAATAGTAAAGTTATAATTGAAATAGAATATGAAATTTTAATAAAATTAGTCTATTGATTTTAAATTTGATATTATATCATGACCAACTAAATTAAAAAGTTTACAAAGCCATTGATTTTTTTGATCAATGAAAACTTCAATAGGTAATAATTTTTTATTAATTTGAAACTGTTTTAAAAGAATTCCGGATATTATATCGGTTAAAGGGAACCAAAGAATATGACTGACTCTAAATGTTCCTTTATCTGTAATGATTCTAACTGGAGTTACTTGGTCATCAAAAGTATAATCTTGTAAAGGGTCTGTAGCCACTGGATACTCATTGGGATAAAACGCACGAAAATCTCCATACTTTATAAGACCAAGATGTTTTCTTTCCATAAAATCAAAATTCATTCCCCCTAATTTTATTATTGACACAGTTTCTCCATAAGGAATAATACTCAAATTTTGATAATCTCGAACAATTTCAGGAACAGTTTGTTTTTCAAGCATAGAATTAATTTTGACAGCTTCTTCAGAAGGAATTATACCAAATTTACGATTCATATTAATAATATATTGCCTTGAAACTTCAATAATTTTCTTTGTACTGTGGATTCTGTATATATAAGTTGAATTTTTAATTAATCATAGTATATTTATATATAGAATATCATTAAAGCAAATATATTTTTATATCAATCAAGCAGCAATTTATCTTAATAAATTTTGTTATTAAAAAATATATAATGCGATTTTTAGGTTTAGTAAATAGATCTGTAGCGCCGTTTGTGAAATATTAAAATACTATATACTAACCAATATTTCTAAATATGTTAACTATAATTTTTTAGTTATTATTTACAAGCAAGTTTTATAAAATTTGAATCAATTTAAAAATTGAGTGCTAAGCATCAATTTTAAAAAAACTAGAAAAATTAAAGCTCATTGTTCTCAATATAACTATATGATAAAATATATAGATATAAAAGAATTCTTCCTAATAAAAATTAATTTATATTTTTTGATTGATGCAACAGTTTTTTTGATAATGAATTATGAAATCATGGAAGAAACAATTATTATTATACTACAGGTTTATGAAAAAATTACTTACATTATTGTTATATTATTAAAACATTAATCCAGTTTATTTTAATTAGGTTTCTATTAATTTTATTGTTAGAAATGTGATTAATCGTTCATTCCAATCACGAACTAAAATATTATGTAATAATATTTTATCTTAGTTTGTGATTTTATGGACTACTAAATGTACAAAATAAATCACTATAAACGTTAAAAAATATGGATATATATATTTTAGATAGTGGTTTATGTGTATAAATGATTTACAGACGACATCTTTTAACATTGATTAGACGTTTATACCATTAAAGATTTTTGATTACTGCGATTATCTGTAGATTGTTTTTAACATACTTGTATTAGTTTCACCTGTATGTATGTATGTTTGTAACTCTCCACGAGCCACGTGTTATTATTCCCGTGTATCCCGTCGTGAGACTAGACTGTCGTAACGCATTCACCTCACCCCACGCCATGCTCACAACAAGACGGCAACACTATACTGCCGTGCTAAGCAAAAACAGGATAACTCCAAAATTAAAAAAAAATTTTTTTTTGTTTCTATAGGTAAATTTAGTGGTTTTACGCCGATTTTTGATGTAAAAATAGCATATTTCCTATTAAAACCCATCTTAAATTGAAATATAAAATAAATATAGTTTAAAAAGCGAAAACAGAGTAAATCCAAATACTAAACAAAAACTTGGTATATTACATCAAAAATAATGGAGTTACCGTCTTTTGACTTATGTTCATACATTGGGAAAAAAGCGTATTTTGATTTACTGTTAAAAATGTTTTTTTGCGTTCCTGAAAAATCACGTTGACTGGAGTTATCCTTTTTTCGCTTAGCACGGCAGTATACCTGTATAAATTTATTTTTGGTTATCGTACCCATACATGCGTGCGTCATCAATATTATATATATATAAACAAATTTTTATTTTTACTGACCAATACCATCCGCGTGCCATACGGCTTACGCGTATATTCCTACCGCCGTTTATACCTCAAGCCGGATTCCCACGACTGGTGTACTTGCCAAATATTTGTCACTTGTGTATACTTGTCAAGCCGTCGGAACACTATACTTGTACAATTATTGGTCACTTGTCAGTTTCCCGCAGATTGTCGGTAAATGTAACACAAGTCAAAGGAATTAATGGCTTGACAAGTTTACACTTGTAGTTCACTAGTGCACACTTGAGTACTTGACAAATACTTTACAATATTTGATTTTAGGGTGGCTTTCGGTAACACAATTTTTTCTTCCCCACCCACCTATATTTGTACAGTACAGCGGTGGTTTATGTTGGCCTAATTAGTTGATTTAATTTAATAGATAAGTAAAACTATTTTATAGTATAATTGTAAATATAATTTAATAGTTAAGGTTGATTACATAATGTATTAATTATATAACTTATTAATTTATGAATATTAAGTATAAAATAAATATTATTGGATAGTTTAATATTTTACTAAAATGTTTATATTTGTAAAATTCTGCTTCATTTTTGCAAGTAAAAAATTATATACGGGTGCGTAGCTGAAACACTATTAGTTTTACTCTGTCGTATTTTTTTTCTTTAATTTTTATGGAAACTAACCTCAAATTTGCTTTAATTGCCAATGTTGTTGGATACCGAAAACAAGATTAATACAGTTTAGTACTGAAAAATATTTTATAGTAATAGCATTTTCTATTTTATAAAGTTATATTAGAACTAATATATATATTTTTTTCTATGTAGCGTTTTGTATTCAGACAGAATTGTTTATTTGGCCTTAAATTTAAATTCAAATTCTCTTGTATAATTTATTATTATTATATTTTTTATTAACTACAAAAATGTCATTATTATTTTTTTTTTGTAACTGTTTATGTTATTAATGATTTTTACTGTACTTATAAATATTTTAATTGTAAAAGGGTTAACACCCGTATATTATACATAAATAAATAAATAAACTATGTGTGTAAAAATAGTTTTATTTCAAACTTCGAAGGCTATAATTAAATAAAAATGAATTAATCGCCCAATTTTTGTTTTTGCAACCAACACTGCTCATCGAAATTAAGTAAACTGATAACTCTTGACGTTTATATCAGAAGTATCACCTGTAAGTAATCATAATAAGAATGCAAGCTAAAAATGAATATAGGTAGTAAATAAATAAAAGGCTTTACTAGAAATGCCAAATTACTAAAAAAAGTAAATAAGTGTATGATATAAATTNCTAAAAAAAGTAAATAAGTGTATTAATGATATAAAATGAATGCATTTCGCTATCAAAATTCTATTTTGAAGTGGTGGCTGTTCAATTGTTTGGTCAAGTTTAGTAAAACCTTCATCTTATTTTACGGTAACATTTTTACATTTTTTTTTTTGTATTTTTTTTTCAATTAATTGTTTGTACTTTAAGTACTCTCCACACATAATTATGTATGAAGCATAAATAGCCATTTTAATTAACTTAAGGTTAATTAGATAAATAAAAACTAAAAATTATAGTTAAAGTTAAAGAACTATTTTAACTAAAAAAAAAAATAATCTAAAAAGTATCAAAACTAGCAATACTAAAAAATGTATTTTAAATCACTCACTGAAACGTCCAAAAACTGCAGCGCTAAAAAAGCAAATGATACATGACTTAATATTTTTCAGGTCCCACCCCCAATACAATTATTTGGCATTTGATCCAGTCGTAGGAATAGTATACTTGGCTTTTATTTATTACTTGTACAAGTGTACAAGTACTGGTATACTTGTCAAGTATATCAATCATGGGAACGCTCTCCACTTGTTAATAATTAGATGATTTGGCAAGTATACAATTATTGGTGTACTTGGCNTTTGATCCAGTCGTAGGAATAGTATACTTGGCTTTTATTTATTACTTGTACAAGTGTACAAGTACACCATTCGTGGGAATCCGGCTTCACGTATAACATTAGTCCGACCCGCCCGCCAACAAAACACGGCTATACCTAGTGCATGATACGTTTACGTACTTAAGTCGCTTTACTTGTATATATATATTCTAATTACTATTAAAATTTATATATTAACACGCTTTATTCTTATTAAGAGATATAAAGTATTCATTCCGATTACAGGGATGATTTCCGTATTGTCATTTTTCGTCACTACCTCCATGNGGATGATTTCCGTATTGTCATTTTTCGTCACTACGTTCCAGGAGTGAGTAATTTGCGCGCCTGCTGCTTTCCTTGAATATGGTAGCCATTTCTCTGATCCCTCTCCGGAATCGAACTCTGATTTCCCGTTACCCGTAACAACCAAGATATTGATAGTAACTACTATCATAACATGAAACTAAAAAGTGAAAAATAACTTTTAAAATAAGCTTAAAATAATTATAAACGAAAAATACTAGTATTATTGTGATAAAAGCGTGGGTGCTTTGTGCATTATTTTTCGTATATTGAGCGCCCGACGCTTTTAACACAATAATACTAGTATTTTTCGTTCATTATTATTTTAAGCTTAATTTAAAAATTATTTTTAACTTTTTAGTTCGATGTGCTTCAAAAGCGTGTTTTTTTAATTTTTTAAACTATATTTATTTATTATCATTTTAATGTTTAATAATCGTGGATATTAGCAATATTTTATGTGATTTCTCAATATTTAAACCTATTATAAATATTACATAGTCTATTGCATAAACAATAAAAGTTTACAGGTGAATTAATTTTACATTTAATAGACGTGGATCAACGACAATTATCATTCTAATATACAGACATCTCCTAGATTATTATTAATAATCATATTTACGTTAATTACACGTGAATATTAGCACATTTTTTATTTATACATTAAGTGGTTATTTAATACATAAATACGTGTGTTAAAAATCTAAATATTATGTGATCTATTACGTACTCTATATTTATTAATGAATTAAATATTATGTACAACATAATAGTACAGATTTAACTTTTACAGAGGCTTAAGTCCCGATTTTTATTTATGTTAAAAATGAACGCGATTTAAGGACTTTTTTCTCCCCTCAGATTTTAACTATATTTTAGGTATTTTCTTAAATATATTTGTTGATAAATATCCTGTTATAGAGATTAGAAAATTGACTTATGTACTAAGTTGTATATACTGTATAATAATATAAGGAATATTTATGTAAAAAACTGTGTATATTTTTCTAGAATTATAAAATAATCATAACGATAACGATCAAAATAATAAATACATTTGTTAGCAAAAATTTTCAAATTATTTAGATTTATTTTTTAATTTTCCATCTTCAGACGATGAAGCCTTGATTTCTGAGACACTAATCCACCATTTAAAAATCATGTAAACTGTAAACATTTTTTTTCATTTTCATTAGTATACATTTTTAAAATAAAAAAACAAATATTTAGTAAAATCTAGAAAGTTAATAATGTTATGTTGTTTTTACAAAGGTGAGGTCGAAGAAACGATAGCAATAGGTAATCCGTGGTCACGTAAATAATTAATTGTGTTGTCAAAACATTAAAAAATAGATCTGATAGTTACCACTTTAATTTTGCTTCCAAAAAGTGGTTTTAAAGTTTTATCACAAATATTTCATGAATACTCACGATTAGGAAACCTTTTACAAGATAAGTATATTTTATTATGTTTCACTTTGTTTTTAATTTAAATAATGAGCAAGTTATAACGATTACAAATCTATACAGCAAATTAGATAACATTAGTTAACAAAAAAATTAGTCATGAATTTTTAAAACATTTTAAAATTAGAGTCATTGTCATTAGAATAGACTTGTAGTCTATCCTAATCTATCTTTTGATTTATTTTTAATTTAAAAACATATTTACACTTATTTTAAAAACGTAAAATTTTGGTATTTTGTAGCTTACATGTTATTGCTTTATTAGTTATTGCAAGATTTTTTGACTAACAGTTTATTAGAAATTTAAGTTTATGCTAAGGTGGCTGTAATTCCCCCATTTTTCACTAATACTCTACCAGAAATTCTATTACTAGTGTTGTAATTATTATTTAAATGAGAAAATTACTTTATAAACTCTAAAAAATGCGATTGAAAGAATAGATGGACAACAAAAATTATTATACTTTTAGCGTAGTAAATTATTATAACTTTTAATTAAAATTAATAGATAAAAAAATCACATTATATGTTTTTTTCTTGAAAACTTACGTCCGCAAAATATAAATAATAACACTCCTAAAAATATGAACTTTCCGAAAATCATAAAATTGCACAATAATTTGGCTAATGGCACTAATACTACAACAGCCCAAAATATAAAGTTAACTAAAGATGAGTATTTTCGTTTGCTTTTAAATTTTTCTAATGGTTCCACTCCGCTTTCTTTGAACCAGTCACCGGTTTTAATAAAACTATCCATAAGTTTGTCCTAAAATCAGAAAACCAAAAATGTGTATTTACAAGTGGGTTTTTATGAAATTTGTATAAGAAATAGTTGAGATAAGTAAATGATATCTGACAGTGATTAAAATTAATGTTATAAAAAATGCTTCCAAAAAATCTGTAGATAGTGTTTGATTTTTAGAAGGAATTTTTAAATTATTCCAAGATAAACATTAACTGCTATTTCCTTATTTATACCCTGTTACAAGTTTTATTATTAACTATTAACATATTGATAGTATATTATTGTAATTTTTACGGAGAAATTATAAAAAATTTAGATAAAGTTACATATTTTGTAACTATTATGCAAACTTATATCAAAATTGTAATTATGAATTTATCATAATTACAATAAATAATTAATAGTAGTAAGTCACCTTTCTTAATTCGATTATTCTGACTTTCGCGGGTTAATTATTATTTCAGTTATGAAATTAAAATTGTAGTTAACCATAAGTTATTGGTATCTATAAACATTTTTCATGGAAAGGGCAGTCTTTTCCTTTTTATTATACTTAGATTAAAATTAAGAGTTGTAAAAATTCTCCTTAACATTATTTATAGCTAACATTTTAATTTTTATTATAATATTTATTTGTAAAAGAGGGCGTTACTATGGGTATGCTTACTTATTTAATTATACTGTTTGAACAATAATATAGGCATATATTATTGATGTGAAAAATTATGATAACATGAAAAAAAGTGATTTATTACACAAAAATATAATTATTTGTTTAAATTCGGGGGTCGTTATATATAAAAGAAAACTCAAGGGGACAATTTTTTTTTTAACTTATAGTATATAATACAAAATTTATTTTAATTTATGTTTGAAGCTCGGAGTATTTGCGGAACATTTTTAAACTTATAATAAGTAAAATTTTCATGCAAAAGTTGCTATTTTCAGTCACCTTGTGGCATGTTAAGGGTCAAATTAAAAAAAATAATATATCTAATAAAAAGAAAATATCTAAATATTTATAAAAAAAATTGTTTTGATTCATCCATTATTAAAAAAAACTATGATAGATTTAAGGAAAAAATATAGAAATTTACTGATCTAAAAAATTGTAATTTTAGGGTATTTCGCCAATTTTTAGGAACAAGGGAAATTATTTCAATTTTTTAGGGTAATCTTTAACTAGAAACCATTTGTGAAATATCGTTAAACAAAATCGGTTAGATGAAAGTTGAAAAAAGAGGCGACAGATAAAAAAAAAAAGAAAGAATACCACGTGGTAAAACTAATATCTTCTCAGCTACGCATCGAAGCTAAAGGACCTCTTAAATAATAAACCTTTTTAAAATAGAGTATGTTTTACTTTTTTTACAAACAAGTTATTCATCCAATTGTCACAGTCTTTTACTTCTTTGGGAATTTGTTCAATGGATATTCTCTCCATATAAACATGTACTTCTAACTTTTGTGAGTTTAATAGGTTGAACATGGATGGCTTTAAATCACTGTAATGGTCAAAAAAAAAATATTATTTTACAGACATGTACTTAGTTGTATAAAATTGTTTATTATGATAAAATTTAGTTCATTATTTTTTTTGATAGTTTAAGTATCAAATATATTGTTATATTACAAAATATTTTTTATAAATGCTACAAAAAACTTCATTTATTTATTGTATTCGAAGAAACAATCTCTACAAAATAAATTTACAATAAGTTAATTAAATTTTGTCACCCTTTATATGCGACTTGAAAGTTATAAACTGCTGGCAAATTATGTCTTATATTAGGAAGTCCCAATGAAAATCCTTTTGTTCTTGGTAATAAATGGTGCTTAAGTTCTGGAAAGCCTTTAGATCGGGCAAATTTCATACTTGCCTCATGTTTTTCTGGTGTAAACCTTGTTCCTTCTGCGTAGAGTAATAACTAACGTACCAAAAGGAAAGTTTGTACAATTGTATTTGTATATATAATGTATTTGTAAAATACATTATATATCAGAAGTACAGATTATATGTTTAACTTACCCATATTGGATTTTGATATTCGAATAATTTTTTTAAATTAACCTCAATCGTTTGTTTGTCTTTGACTAAATCTCTGGATAAAAACAAGTATTCGCTAAACCACCAACTCCAACCGATAATTGGAATGTACATAAGACTTTTTTTTGCAAAAGCTTTGCAGTTCTTGAAAAATTTAAAATGACGTGAAAAAATATTTTAGCGATAAATTTTTGATGTATATAATAAAACATTAATAAATAAATAAAATTAACCTAATACCATAAAAGTCTTTGAAGAAAATCAGGGGATAAAGAAATTTCAGAAATGATGTTTTCATTATCAACACGAAATAGATTTCGAAACATAGTTATCCCTTGATTTTTTTTTTAATGTTATACGATTTTGGGTTAATTAAATATTTTTTTTAATAAATTGATTATAAGTAATCACTTTTCAATTTTTTTGTCATCTTAATCATTTTTTTTAAGGTTAACTGAATCAATTATTTTTTTAATAGTGAATCATATTTTTTTAAATTTAGAATAGTTATTTATTATAAATAAATAATATTTTTTTATAAGCATAGCAGTGGGGTAACTATTGGGTAAGTTTAGTAAAATGTACAGTTTTACCAATATTTCCCCAACCTTATTTTACAAGAATTTTTTTGTTAAAACTTGTCAATATTTAGATACACTGAAGCCTCCTTTCAATTGATCCTCTATTAGACAGAAACCTCTTTTTAATGAAAATATTCCATGGTTTCGGTTTTTTTATAGATTGAAATTAACCTTTATTAAGCGGAAACGTCCTTTTAACGGTAAAAAGTTTGGTTTGCAGCGTTTCCATTGAAAGGAGGTTTTACTGTATTTGTATTTACAAAAAAGTCATAATTTATAAAGAGGTTTGAGAAACCTAAAGATCAAGTTGTGATACACGAACTAAATTTTTTTGAAATCGTATCATAAATTACATTTAAAACTATGTTAATCAGGGTGCGATTGAGAAGTAATCGAATTTTGGCTATAACTAATTTTTTATTGAACTTTTTGACAAATACACTTAGTATTCCACAAAATACTTCTCTTGTACTTCGATACACCGAAAGTAGCAGTCTTGCCACTGTTCAAAACATTTTTTGAACGCTTTTTCCGGAATGGCTTTCTGTACGTCGGCTACACTTTTTTGAATGCTCTGAATCGTCTGGAAACGCTTTCCCTTCAGGTTTTTTTTGATGAATGGGAACAATAAGAAGTCCGAAGGAAACACGTTTGTCTGTAGGGGGTTGGAGAAGTATTGAGATTCCATGCTAGGCCAGATAGGAGGTCCAGAGAAATTCTGTGTTAGAGCACACTTAACGCATGTCCAATTCTTCCGTTACAATTTTCTGAAGGCTGAAGTAAGCGAGATTCAACTCTTGACTCATCTTTTGGATGCTTGCCCAATGGTCAAAAAATTTACGGACCCTATCGACGTTTTCGTCAGTTTTACCCTACCACTTATTTTTTTTCAACGCGCAGGAGCGTGAGGCAGAGTAAGTTCGGTTACTTTTCAATCGTATTCAGATATACATATTCATTAACATAGAGGGAGATGCTGATGTAAAAATTCTACTCGTCTTTAGCCCGGAGCTACTGACGTGGTACTAACAAAGTACAGTTGTATTTGAGTTGCCTTTATAGACATAGTTTTCGATACTATCACTTGGTCTTATTTATTTTGTTAATAACTTAACTTATTTTATTCAACAACTTGTTTATCGCCAATTGTCATCATAGCCAATCGATTCCGCCTCAAATAGTATATACTTAGTATATACTACTAATCAACTTTACTAGGATTCAGGTCAAATGTATTGTACATTACATATAAATTATATTTATAGAATATTTAAAATATAACTTTAATTTGTCGTTGACATAACGCAATAGTTTAATGTTATTATATAATCTCTCACAAATAACTTAAGTACACAATTGCCTGTATCTCCTTCAGGTAAATAAAACTGATTTAAGGAGATAGGGACAATAATAACGTTGGGTAGTTTCCAATTCTTGGTTTTAATCAAGATCCCTAAGTATTAATCGGAACCCTAACAGTAATTATCTATAAATTGATAACCTTTTTTTAAAAAAAATATGAAATTATTAAATTGGACGTACTCCCATTATACCAACGCGATCAGAGATACACCACATAGTTAACCAGTCAATTTCGTAGAAATGGTTTAAAACAATAATACCGTTTTCTTTGCCATAATATTTGTCGTAATCTTTTTTGTCAACATAAAAGTAAATATCAGTGCAACTCCACCATTCCAAAAGAAAAACGAAATCTGTAAAATTAATAATTTATTTATACAGTTTTTTCATATGCATGCATTAAGAGATTCTTAAAATCAATTTTTTTACACAGTATATTGAATTATCATTTAAGTTAAAAATAAAGTGTACAAACAAATTCTCTTTTATAAAGAATAGTTAATTGATTAATTTCTAAAATTCCATTGTATTTAAAATTTTGGTATTTATTTTGTCGAGAATATGTTTGTATAGAAAAATCTATAGCCTATGTCATTCTGTGTAACAATTTATTGATAAAATATTTAATTTTTGTGATTTGAAAAAATTGGTAAACGACACCCTTTTTTGTACTTTTCTGAGACCCATCTATGCATACGTATGATTCAATTCCAGGACATGATGTATAGAGAAATTTTAAGTTTACTCTTATAAAAGTGACCTGAGTCTTATGAACAAAATTAATTATCGCGTGTTACTTATTTGACATTTAATTTTTGGAATTTATAATAATTTATAATAGAAAAAAACTTTGTTATTGGAAAAAGAACTTGTATGATTCTACTTAACAGCTTTATAAGAGAGCATCTGTATACCTAGGTTTCTCAACAACTGGACTTAAAAAACTGTAAATATAACAAATTACTAGTGGTGGCTCGTGGGTGTTGGTGCTGGGGATGCGACTTTAAGTATAATACCGCTAGTCGTAGGTATAAAAAATTGTCAAATTAAATATAACAAAATAAAACGCATATTATTTTCTTTAAGGTCGCAGTAGAAAATAGAAATGAAAATAATAATATTAGCGATTGTACTATTTTAACAACCGATAACGACAAGCAGTTCATTCTAAAAATGAATTACCAATATAGTAGTATGAACGCTTCCGGTCGTCCAAACACTACTCGTGTGTGTATGCGTGCCTGCATTACTGAGGGAAACAACTCTTATGATCGCACACGACAAATGTATTATAACTATTTTACTATTTAAAAATGTTTATTTTTAATAAAAATGTAGAATTAAAAATATACAATTTATTTTAGTAGGGGTGCGATTGTCCCGTCGTTCAAGCCACGAGCCGCAAATGCAAATTACTGTATTCATTTAAATATTTAATCAGGAAATAATTAAAATATAACATTAAATAAATTATCAATATTTACCTAATGATATTATTTGCGATAGGAAAAAATGTATGTGTCTAAATAATTCCTTATTAAAAGGCCACAACAGGAGACATAACAATCCTTCCAATGTGTTCGCAATCAACCCAGAAACAATGAATTTTAACACGAATAATGTGTGTGTTATTGGTGATGATTTAATTTTTGACAAATCCATATTTTTCTTTTTATTAGCACGTATAGTTTGCAATAAGTACACACTACACTACACTCTGATTAAGTCTAAACATAATTATGACTAAATGAAAAAAATATCGAGTTAAAGTTTTATCATAAAATAAAAACATTTTAAATATAATTATGGATTTGTTTCCATTGTACAAAGTCATACAAGGTTAATTTGATCAAATCGTCAAACAATTTATCTCATAATTTTGTAAATGACACCGCTCATATTAATATGAACATTGCTCTTTCCAGAAAAAGTATTTTTTCTTAATTATTAACTTTATTGATAACACATTAATTAATTGTTATTTTGATACAATAAATACTATTATCTTTGATTTTATCAATAATTTGACTAATTGGAACTAAATTCATCACTAATTGGTGATTATTTAATCTTCTGAAGTATTAAAATGATTAGATTACTTATGGTATTATTACTACCTTTTTTAAACCTACAAAGTATGTTTTTGTGATTAATAGCTGATCATTATGCAGTTACATTACTAAGTTATTATACGAAAAATGAATATTCGACCTCATTGTAATTATTAAGATCCGGATTTTTATGAAAGTGCATATTCTTCAATAATCTAAATAGAATAATTTTTACTAAAAATGTTGGCGGTTCGTAATGTATAGATTCTAAATATAATTAATTTTTTTCCATAGATTTTATATTTTACATACAAATTTTCCAATATTTTTTGCGTCAAATACATTTTAAAAATGTTTTTAACACCCTCAGAAATATTGATATAGTATATGAACCAATATTCCATAGTGTAAATAGGATTTAATCTTAGAATGCTTTTATAAAATAAAATATTTTCACTATTAACTGTTGTGTTGGGTGGTAAAGTATTTTACAACTATTTTTCATAGTATTTTTATTGCAATTAACAGTAAATTATTTACATTGGTTGTCCTTTAAAATAAAAATTAAATATGTGTCATAAAATGGTCAGGTTAGAAAAATATTTTTTAAATAAAAAAACAATATGTTCGTAATTATAAAATATAAAATATTGTAAGAAATAAGATAAAATTTAAAATTACTTATATTATATTAAGTAATATGATAATCAATTCTTTGAATATAAGAATGATAATATAAAGACCCGGTTTATGCCTTTTTATTATGTACAACCAATTATTACGTTAACACCTGATTACAAGGATTATGCAGCGATTCATCACTAATGTTTGAAATATTTTGTTATAGAGAATCGAATATTTGTTTTTAAAAATTTTACTTTTTTATTATCTGTCAGCCAACCAGAAAAGATTGGCAGTATTAACCCTTTAGCGATTTATGCGTAATTTCTCTAATCCGCAAAATATTTGTTTTTTTTATAATAATTTAAGATTTAAAAATACTCTGAAAATTCATTAATGTTTTATTTACACATAATAATTTATATCGATTTATTATTTTATTTGTTTATTTGAGAGTTTTTAGATTATTTATAACAATACAAGAAAAAAAAATTAAGCACTTATAAATATGGTAATTTAAAATTAAAATAATAATTTTACAAAATTAGGAAAAAATGAAACAATATTTTTTAGGAGTTGTTCCAATTCAATTTTTACGGTACACAATTTACACATGTTATAGAAATATATCTATACCTACATTGTAGCCAAACTAAATATACAAACAATATTTTATATTGTTATGTTGCAAAGAATTTAATTATTAATAATAATTTAATTTTGCAAGTAATTTATAAATAACTACATATTAAAACAAACAAAATTATAATTTTTGTAACTTTTTTATATTGTATAGCTTATACAGTTGTAAAAATTACATTTTCTTTAATTTCTAAAAATAAACAATCATTCATTAAGGTCTACAGTGGTAGACCCTTAGGACTAATATACATTAGATTAAATGTCTGTGACATTGTCATGGTTGGACAGATACATGTCGGCTAGTTTTGAGCGAGATGAAGCGAGATACTATCATTCTTTCTTTCTTTTAAGTTAAATTGATAACGTGCTTTGAATTTCTGACTTATAAGTCATTCTTTGAACGTTTGGTACACTATACATGTGTGACACAAATATACTTCCATTAACAATTTATTCTCTAAGAATCTGAAATTTTGTTCGATAATTCTCCTCTTACGTTTTTTAAATTTTCATTTAAATATGGTGGTCAAAGTATATATATCTGGTATATCTGGCAACAAAGAGGTAAATAACTTTATTGGTAATGTAATGAAATGAGATACTATCAAACATTTAAATGTTATAGGTAAAAAAACGCCAACAGAGAGTTACCATGATATTGGATAGTAAAAACATAGAGTACAATTTAGTAGATATTACAGAACCTGGGAGAGAAAATGATAAGGTCTACATGCAAACTAACAGTAAAACCAAAGATGGTTCAAAAAATGCATTACCTCCTCAAATATTCAAAAATGATATTTATTGTGGAGTAAGTATTTACCTAAGTTATTTTTAAAATAATTTAAAGATAATGATTGCATATTGCATCTACCTATGATATTTTTTGGGATGAACACACATTTGTTGTAAGCATGTGATAATATCTTATACTTTTATTTGTTGTATTTTACATCTTTAATTTATCATAAACAATAATTTTGGATAAAACTAATACGAAACCATAATAGTAACAATTATGTTTATTATCAAAGATCCAACCAGGTTTAATGAATAAAACCTAAATGCCTAAAATATTTTATTTAATNCCCCCCCACCTTTAGAGTAAATACTATTAATAGTATTTCGATCATTACGATATATCAAATAATCAGACATCCCTAATTCATTATTACTAATGTCAGAGGTTAGCCATGTTTCAGTTAAAATGAAATAATCATAGTAATTTAAAGTAACAAAATTTAAACGATAAATAGATAATTTAGTTTTTAACCCACGGACGTTCTGATAATACCCGGAGAGAGTATTACATTTTTTTGTACAATTATAATTATTTTTAATATAAGAAGAATTTGATATATTACATGACATGTTAGAGTGATATGAACTTGAGCCGCGAATTAGTTTTTTTGAGCTAAAGATGGTGAACCACGAGAATACTTGATGAACCAATTACCATTGTTTGAACTGTTTCTTCTATCACGTTCGGCTTTTAACGAACGTAGGAATTTCATTTGGTACAAAGTAAGATCTGTAGTAATCCATGCGTTTCTCCATGATGGATCAGATGATAGCGACTTTTTTGATTTTAAAACATCTAAGACAGACTTAGTACTATCAAATGTTATTCTTATCGGTCTTGGTTTAGCAGATTGTTTGCCGAGACGGGTGACCGCGGATATATTAGCATCCAAATTTAACTTTATAATAAGCTCCTTAGCAAGCGAATCAATATTACTAACCGATTCCTCTATGTTAAATAACATTATATTACGAGATTTGCTGTCTCTTTCATGGATTTCACGAATAATGTCAACCCCAGAAAAATCATTAGGAGCATAATCAGATGTAATAAAATTTTTAGACTTTTTAAGGGAATCGATGTCTTTTTTTAAATCTTCATTCTCTTTCTTCAGAGAAACTATCTCTGAAGAAAGGTCATCCAATCTAGACAAGATTGATGTAGAGGTGTTTTCTTGCGTCAGTAATTTAGTATTAATAGATTGAATATCTTTCCGCATACCAATTAAGGCATTCCAGACATCTGTAAGGGAGATATCTTTTTTGCCTACGAGCGGAGTTGGTTTAGTCGGTGACTTTTGCATAGTTGTTAGATTCTATAAATTCGTTGGAAACAAAATAAACCTCGGCAGTGGTATGTACACTTGAATGGTCAAGGTCCCAATTGATATAAATTTAAAAATTTATTGCCGGTGTCGTGAACGTTATCTAGACGACTAACATATAAGTGCTAGACTTGATGGAAAAATAATAAAACTAAGTTTTATAAGTTTAATAATACTAGTTAAGTTATTTACTATTATAATTTTTATAAATTGACTAAAACATTTTAATCTTATGAAATCTGATCAGATCTTTGATTTGGGAAATTGTGTGTACACATACTTATAATATGAGCTGTTTTATATTTAGTGGACATTTATTTTCTAAAAGTATTTTTGTTTTGTAAAAATTATTGTATTTTTTTTTAATTTTGTGAGTCACTCATTTATGATTAATATATTTTTTTAACAGGATTATGATGATTTTGACATTGCAAATGAAATGGATGAATTAGACAAGTTTTTTGATATTTCCACCAAAAAACAACTTGATGATGTATCTGATGTGAATGATATATCCAATAAAATAGTAATTTTCTATTATAATTTTATTGTTCTAGTTAACAATCCTTATTTAATAGAGCAATAACTACTATGTATGTGTATGAACTTGCACATCAGCTTCACCATAGTATTGGAAGCCTGCTTACATTATGATGACTTTTTTTTTGTTATCTTAAAGAATTCAAACAATTTTTAGGTGTAATTTAATGGTCTATTATTGGGGTACAAAACAAAATATAAAGGGTTTACTTAATCTATTATCAACATAGGACAAAAGCCAAGAAAAAAAAGCTGCTTAATTTTAATTTTTCAGTAAATTGAGTAAAATTATACCTTTTAAAGTATTGAACTACATTTTTAAAATCGAAATTTTATTTGTAACTTTTTATAACTGTTGTTTGAATACTCTTAATGTAATAAAATTTTTTTATTTTGTAGGATGATCTTTTAGAAAATACAAGTAACAATGAAAATGAAAAGTAAGTAAAGTTTATTATTATATTGGTTAGTTAATTGTCATATTTAGGTGTCATCATACGTATAAGGCTTATATTGTTTATTTCATTTATATGTGGCACTTCACTGAAAATGTGAAATCAAGGTAGTGATTGCCACTTATATAATTTAAAATATTATGATGTTTTATTTCAATAGTATTAAAATCTATAGTTTTTGATGGCCTAGTTTGTGTTTTCTTAATAAACCAATAAGGTTTTTTGTTATTACCAACCAAAATTAGAAAAAAAATGAAAATTATATTTATTGATAGTAATATACTATTTAATAAGTTATATTTGAAAATAGGTATTTTTAATGATTAAATTTATTTTTGTTGCTTATTAAAAACAGTTGTAATCCAAAAAGATACGATAAAACTTTTTTCATGAATTTAGAATATAAAGTTGTGACTAAATTTAAATTAACTAGTATTTTTATTAGATCTGTAGAAGAATTCTTAAATGAACTCGAAGAACAGTCAAAGTCTGATGACAATAATATTAATGAAGAAGAAAAAGATTATGAAACGCTTGACACACAGGTGACAAGCAGCTTCTTTAAAAGACATAATAAATTAATACATTTTTTGAATCTTTTTATTAACTTTGATTCAATTAAGTTAATTTTCGTGTATTACTTATTTTTGAATTAAATGATATTTAAGAAAATATAATCTAACTACTTTATAGCATCCTTTAAAATAGTGTAACATGCATGGTGTAAGGTGTGTTTGATGTAGTAAATTATTTTGTTTTGATTAGTAAATCTCAATTATAATACTTTAACTCAGACATTTGAAATGAGTTTAATGTATTTATTTTTTTATATTTGAATGTAAATATAAGCTGGTTATACATTTAATATAATTTTTTTTTACTTTAAGTAAAAATAATCAATAACAATTGGTAATAATTAAACATTTTCCAGAGTTGATCAATTCATTTTTTGTTTTGTTAAATTGTGTATTTGCTTATGATTATATTAATTCAACTTTTATATTTTAGAACAATTTAATAATTTAATATTTATTTCAGAATAAATTGAACTTTACTGATGATAAAGACAAAGAATCCGTCCTACTTCCAGATGACACAAACAATGAAATTTTAAATACTTCAAAAACAAAAGAAGATACAATATCAGAAAATGAAGAAGAAATTGAAGAGTGAGAAATAATTTATTACCTAAGATGTATTTAAGTAACTGTACAAAATTTCAATCCCATCATGCTGCCTTATTCTAACAAGTTATATTTATTAATGTTTATCTGAGTTAATTTATTTTGTATTTTATAATTTAATTTTTTTTAACAATATTTATTATCTAATTACCAACACATAATTTAATATATTATTTATTTATTAAGAATTATTGGAAGAATTAAACTCATAAATTACCTTCACTATGCTTGAATGATTATAGAATTTATTTATAAATAATATGCCCATGACTCTAGTACATATAAATAGTATTTATTAAATTTATATTTTCATGTACAAGAGTTTTAACCCTACGCATTATGCTTAGCAAATATTGTTTATTTTATTATTAGACCTATTGTATAAGATAACAATTGTATGATTTATAATGTTAATACTTTCAATATACAAATATTACTTATAATGATGTTATTGTACAATTTTCATTGCTACTAATTAAATTTTAGCTTCGATGCGAAGCGGAGAAGGTATTAATTTTACTATGATGTGTTTTTTTTTTTTTTTT